AACATTGCCAAATCCTGTCATTTGGAAGATACAACGAGTGCGATCAAGTTGGTATAAAGTCTCTTCAAAATTCAATATATCATGCATGTATTTATGGACATGCCAAGAACCCCACATAGTTCGGAAACATCTAAACCCTTTAATAATCTTGTATTTGATTAAAGTTCCCTAGAAAATGATGGAATCTTGAATTTAAATATATGCTAAAAAACAAACATAACTCCTCGAGAAAAACAAACATCATGTTATTGTTCGACAATGACATCTTGTTATAATTGATTACTGACATATGATAATTACAATACAATAACAATATATTAATTTAAAGTAGATTATCGCTTGTATAAAAATATTTATTAAGAAATGTCATTTTGATTTTTCAAAATCCATGATTTGTCTACTGTCACTAAATTATTATTGAAATTGGTGTATAAGCTCAAGTGACATTTCTATAGTTTTTTTAGAAGAAAAATTACATTACGTTAATAACTTTTTATATTAGATGTTACTTAGAAGAAATGTTAATACACCAATGCAAGAGAGTAATATAAACAACTACAAAACGCATTTACGACAATAAAACCATTAGATTAACCACTTACCTTTGTGTCGTTGCCTGGTCTACCAAAATGAGCAGCATAGTCGTTCCCCGCAACTGATACGAGAGCAATGGACGATTTAACGACGTCGTTTTTGGCATAGACCTTTTGTTGAAGCAGTTGTTCGAAAAAGTCGATTTGGGTGGTCAAGTTCGGTCCACTGACCAATGTATCGAAAACACCTGTGCCTCCAAATGCAAAGTTCATCCCAGACTCTAGTTTGGATTTCTTCACAAATTTTCTCAATGCGTAAGGCACCGGAGATCTTATGCCCAAAAAGGAAGCTGCAATTTTGCAACACGTCAAGGAGGAACAAATAAAATAAAATTTGTTCTTTTTTGTTCTTAAAGTTTTGTTAAACAATGCAGAGTTGGGTTGAGCCAGTTGGCTAGAGCAGTGAGTCCGGCCCCTGCATCTAAATTTGAATCCCCTTTCCATAAATTCAATTAATTTAGAGTAGATTTCCATTTGTATCAAAAAGATTTGGTTAAACAATAATTCAAGCAAATTAAAATTCATGCTCCCCTATAAATAAAAATAATAATTATGCCAATACGATCCCAACCTAGTACTACTAACACAATTATATTTAAATTTTCTACATCTAAATAATATATGACGAATAAATTCATGTCAAATATTTCACATAGCATACTATAAAAACCAAAATTGAACTATGCCTCCTAATTATGCTCATTGTCGCATTTTGGTCCATGAACTTAACTACAGTTAATGGAGGAAAAAAAAAAAAAAAAAAAAAAAAAACGGGGGGGGCCACGACCGCCCGAACCCCGGCCGGCGGGCTTTCCCGGAAAAGTTATCCCATAAGGTTCCTTCCATGAAGGAGACACAGATTTTCTGATATTCCCAGTATCAACATATGAGTCCCCGAAGACGAAAAGTTTCACAGAGCCATGAATGTTGTGCTGATGAAGGTGATGATGAGCTTCAAGAACTTCTGCCACCATATATCAAAAGCAATAAAAAGGACAAATAAATACAATTTTCTTTTGTCTAAAAAAAATATAAAGACTGATATCAAGAACATATATATATTTAGTTATGAAGAACTAACCTGTAAAAGTGGTGATGTATAAAAGGAAGAGACAAGAAGAGGCGATGGTGGTTTGCTTCTCCATTTGAAAGCAGAGATTTTTGGGTGTCTTGAAAGGGAAAAAAAGAAAAGAAAAAGACACTGGCGTTCTTACATATGGGCATGATACAATGTACCCTGCTTAATAGCAATAGGTTTTTACAGCTTAGAAAAGGAAAAGATAAAAACGGATTCTTTTTTTGTTTGAATATTTTATTAATTTTGGTGACTTTAGTGTCATTTTCATTTTCGGTTCTATAAAAGATGGAAAACATTTATGACACCCAACAATTTCGTTGCAGCACTTGGAAAGTTTTTTTTGTATCTTTCTCATTTCATATTTTCTCGACATTAATTCTATAACAGTGTGTTTAATGAAGGAAATAAATTTGGAATTTTTATAAAAGTCAAAATTTCTAAATTGGCATGAATCAATTCCCGTGTTTGGATTTAAAAAAATTTAGAAATTTAGAAATCCCTGTGAAAAAAAAATGGAATATTGCAGTCATAAATCCCAACTTTAAATTCTATGTAAAAGTACTTATTTCTCAAATTTCAAGATAAATTGAGTTTTTAAAAAAGATATCTTTACAAATAAAGGCTAAATTCGGTATTTTAATTCTGTCATCCCAACAAGAAACTTTACAAATTCTAGAACATTAATTTCCTTCAATTTAATTTCCATCATTTATAAATTATTTTGTACTTTTTAATTTCCTGATCCAAATGCACTGTAAATAAACTTACTTCAAGGCCTAGCAATTATTATCATTTTTTTAAATCCAATTTTGCTCACTCCTTAATTATTATGATGTAGCTTAGGGTTTAAACCCTAAAAATATTTATGATGTACCTCACCCTAAACCCTAAAACACTACTGTACTTGGATAGGCCTCAATAACCAAATCATACCTTTGTTCAAGCGGCCCCTTCTTACCACAAAGATACTACAACTAAGATAAATAGGCATCATGCTAACAATGCCTAGTCCAATGAAAAAGGGTATTAACTTAATAAATAGGCATCATGCTAACGGTGCCTAGTCCAATGAAAAATGGTATTAACTTGCAGACTAGTAGACCTATGTTATTTGCTGCAGGGTTCATATTTTTGTTCACAATAGGAGGACTCACTGGAATAGTCTTGGCAAATTCTGGGCTACACTAGGTCATCAAGCTTTTGGTGAAGTTTTCACGCTGCTCATTTAAGTTTACAAGTCCGTATAGTCAAACCCGATCCTATGACTGGGCCTAGGCAGTTCTCCAGAGGGGTATCGTCAAGACCTCTAGAGACAAGAAAAGAAGTGAAAGGAAGGAAATCTTTTCCCGAATCAATGATCTAGAGGGGAAACTAAGTTATGGGCTACCCCCTCAACTGTCTGATGAGGGCTATGCTAGTCTCATAGCCATCTATCTCTATAGTATCCCGCAATTTCTGCTCATTCCCGTCCTTTTCATTCTTGATAGCACATGAAAGAGACTGTTCTTGGTCCTTGGCCGTCCTTTGTCCTCTTTCGATAATACCATAGATACTATTGGTCCCGATCTTCGATTCAATCTGGGAATGGTTGTTAAAGAGACCCATGGTAATTGTCTTTTTTTTTCTTTATCTAAGGTCTTAGCTATCCTACTGACTTTTCTTTTTTCTTTTTCTTGTTCTTGTTGAGATACCTTAACATTGTCATTACACGCTGCTTTCCTTAGGTTAAAGAACCCGCATGACACATTGGCATTGTGTCTAAGAAAACCCCCATCCCCTTCTTAACTTTGGCAAAAGAAAATGTATATATATATATATATATATATATATATATATATATATATATATATATATATATATATATATATATATATATATATATATATATATATATATATATATATATATCAATAGGCATGATATGTCCCCTAATATACTAGTAAATTGTAAAATATTAATCTAATTGTATATTAACCTAGTATGGAACTCAAATAACTGAAAAGTTAATCTATTCAATAAGACATGTTGAAATACTTCATTTTAGCTTAACTAAGACAATGTGGAATTCGAAAGTACATTACATTGTCACCAAGGTTGGTCCTGACTTTTGGGTGGCCATGGGCGATAAACTAAATGAGGCCCCTTCCCTTAGTATACAATTGCAAAAAAAAGCAACAAATAAAATGATTTTACGTAGAGCATAGAGTGCGTAAATAAGGATTTTACGATAAACAATTATAGAGCATAATCCTACCTGGTCAATTATAAAGCAGAGTCTAAGTCTCTTAACAGCAAAGTCATTGTCTGTGTATAATTTGGAAATTGAAAAAATAGTTTGATGGATAGGAACAAATATACTCGTGTTCCTCCCCTCTTGGTCACCATCAATCTCAAAGACAATTTGTGAGCTTTTTAGTATGAGATTGATTCTGAGGGTCACAATATGATATGAGAAAAAAATGATGAGGGAAATTGAAAATAATGGGTGGATTGAAGAGAGATGGGGAAAACGGAGAAAAATATGGTGGTGGATTATTATGAGATGGGTGGATTAAATAGAGTTCTTCCATGGAGAAACTAACTAGGAGAGGAATCGTCTTCCTCAAGCACATGTTGTTTCTGCTTCTGCATGGGAAAAGACAAAATCTTATGGGAAGAGGAAACGAAGGAACCTAATTTAATCGAGTGTTGTTTCTGTTTTTTATTATTATAATAATAATAGATAACTTTATATCTTATCTGCTGACTTCTAACTCTAGCTAGGTTAAAATCACACTATTTGTACTTAATTAGTACTTCTCTCATGCAAAGAAGTTGATAAATTATCAAGCAATCCAACCACATATTAGTCTCTTTTATATCATTATGATATATTGGGTAAACCAACCCTCTAGGGCCAATATTTAAACTACACAATAAATCACAAATACAATTGACGAAGAGAAGATTTTATAGCGGAATAAACTTCATGCCAGCCATTCTGCGAAGGGTGAATCGTGTCCCAAAAGAAAGAAAGTTTGGGCTTATCACATACAATGTACTTCTTTGCTCCACTCTCATCCACACTCCCACATGGGTATTCCTTGCTCACCCCAACACAACACGGCTTCAGTGGATTAATCTGGAGTGTCGAGTATCCTGCTATCCGAAAACGAGTTCAAGTAGTACATGAGTTCACATTTCTTGACCACCTTACATACAGATGAGGGGGATCCACATAAACAGTACGTACCGACCTCTATTAGAAAAGTGGTGAGCAACATGATGACTAAATGTGACATATCCGAAAGTAATACTAGTAGAAAGGACAAAATTACAGTTCATTACAAAGAGTTAATTAATTAATTACCTTGATGGTGTTTTGGGAGCATAATTGCAGACAGAGATGCGTTATAAAGATCCAAGATTACAAATGAAGATTTCTTAGTCTCCTTGTTCAACTCTTCAACTTTTTGACGCAAAATCTGGTTATGGAAAATTGAAACCAAATTGGCAACTTCACTACAATTCTGATATGAAAGAAATGAAGTCATGCGGGGCAGACATCCCAGGGGCCCTATTGCTGTAACAGCTATTTTTCTCACTCCCAACCCATGTATACGCTCTAGATCCACAGCAAGCTGCTTAATAATGGATTTAGTGGCCGCTGCGAAATCCTGTCATTTGGAAGATACGAGTGCCAACAAGTTAGTATCAAGCCTCCTCACAATGCAATATGTCATGTATGTATAATATATATTTATGGCCATGCTATGAACCCTAAAATGATATATCATAGTTCAA